CTCTTATGAGGCTTCTCTGGACCCTACCAAGATACTTATGGAAATAAAGATTGAAAAGCAGTCAGGATGGGATGTTTTATACTAACTAGATTTGATGCTAATTGATTTGAAATTGTGATGATTAGACTTACAAATAGATGTGACCAGGGCCGGGCACAGTGGCTCACGCCTGTAATCCCAGCACTTTGGGAGGCTGAGGCACGTGGATCACGAGGTCAAGAGATCAACACCATCCTGGTCAACATAGTGAAACCCCGTCTCTACTAAAAATACAAAAAAAAAAAAAATCAGCTGGGCATGGTGGCGCGTGCCTGTAATCCCAGCTACTCAGGAGGCTGAGGCAGGAGAATTGCCTGAACCCAGGAGGTGGAGGTTGCGGTGAGCCGAAATCGCACCATTGCACTCCAGCCTGGGCAACAAGAGTGAAACTCCATCTCAAAAAAACAAACAAACAAACAAAAAAAAAATAGATGTGACCGGAGATTGACAAATCACCTGTCTCTTTGGAGGCTAAATCAATGGAAGGGGGAGGAGGGAGAGAGGGGATTTTTTTTTTTCTTTGGCTGGCTAGTTTGAATAAGGGGTTTTTCTGAATTGCTCAGTTGTATTGATTTTATCCCCATGGTTCAGGCTAAATGTAATGCAGAAAAATAATGAGAACAGTAAAGTATGCTAATAACATATTAATTATATATACTGGCAACATATATTGTATTCATTCGTTTTTACACTGCTACAAAGGTACTACCTGAAATTGGGTAATTTACAAACAAAAGAGATTGAATTGACTCACAGTTCTGCATGGCTGGAGAGGCCTCAGGAAACTTCGAATCATGGCAGAAGGTAAAAGGGAAGCAAGGCACCTTGTAAACGGCAGCGGGAGAGAGTAAGAGAGTGAGGAATTACCACACTTTAAAACCATCAGCTCTCATGAGGATTCACTCACTATTGTGAGAACAGCATGGGGGAAACCGCCCCCATGATCCAATCACCTCCCACTAGGTCCCTCCCTCAACACATGGGGATTACAACTGGAGATGAGACTAGAGTGAAGACACAGAGCCAAATTATATTATATATTACATATTAGAATTTTATAATTATAATATATAATCACATATTACATATTATACTGCATATTTGTAATATATAATCATATACAAAAATATAAAACATATGAATAACATGCTTTACCTTTATAGAGTGCTTTTAATTCTTCCTCGTCCTTAACATCTATCATATGTCTGACATATTTTGAAATGAGGCTTATGTTTCTGTATGTATGCCAGAGAAATAAAGCATCATTACACATTAGACTAGAGCAGTGAAAATAACATTTTCATTTGTGTAACAAATGAAAGGCTTCCAAATAACAAAACAAATAAATGCTTATTGAACTTCTAAGAGGTGTCAGGCCGTATTTATATATGCAATCTCTTTCAATCCTCAGAATAACCTGTTTTACAGCTGAGGAAATGGAGACACATTGCGATTACATCATTTGTCCCGCATCAGCCAGGGATGAGTAACTGCAAATTTGTACTTGCTATGTCTGGCTCCACACATCTCAGCCTTTTCCTACCTTGCTATCACTACTATTGTTATTATTTTAACTAGATCATGTTGCCTATAGGGTACTTTACTATAAAATTCCTTACTAAGTCCTATCAACTTCACAGAAGGTAAGCTTTTATTCTAGTCTCACAGATGAGGCTCAGAGAAACACCTGCAAGGCTACACACACAGAAGAGGCAGGGAGTTAAACCGTCTTTGAACTTTGATTTTAGGGTTTTCCACTCTGCTGAGGGCTCTCAAAGTTTTCACCAGTCAGTTGCCCTTTGTTCCCTTCTTGGTTTCAATTTTCTTGGGAACTTTGTGGTAGTGAATTATGTTTTTTGCTTAAATAATACTTTTCCTAGTTTTGAAGTCAGGCATAGACATAAGTATATTAAAACTCTGACCGAAACACTTAATTTTTACTGAATTGATATAAATGTGTTGAGGGTCATTTTCATTTGGCTCTTTTGTAGTGATGGAAACAGTTTTTTGAAAGTTCCTTAGCAGTAAGTTAAGGGATCTTAGTGTCCAGGGAGCTGATTAGGAATGCCTGCCCCATTCCATAGCTACTTCTTATCAACTGTCCAAAGAACCCCAGGTCTTACCATACACAGTGAAATATTAGGGCTTTCACTTATAACATGTGCAGTCAGTGGAGATAATTAGACTCATTAAATAGAGAAAACTTGGAGAGCACCATGAATTGCAGGTTTTAGGTGTGTCTTGTTTGCTATTATCTAGCACATTTAGCATTGTAAAGTGCATGTAATTTATAAATGTGCTAGATGCAATGCACACATCTAGCACTGCATCTAGCACATTTATAAATTACATGCACTAACAGATGAATGGATGAATGCAGACAGGGAAAATGATGTCCAGAGAGGTGAATTGAAACCCCAAAGGTCACAGTTTAGTGCAGGGGGAGCATCAGAGCTCAGCTCTCCTCCTTGCTGGTCCTGTGCTATTTTTCTTCTACCACTTTCAGATGAGCTCTTTTATAATGAAGGAGGAAAGAACAAATTTCTTTATTGGGTGGTTCTGGAGCTCTCTGTGAAGTTCGGTCGAGGTGATGTAAGTCTGGCTATCCCTTCATAGTAGTAAGGATTCTTGCGGCTTAGATCTGTTTACCATCATACAAAACTATGTAGGGCCCACTCGGTTACGTTACAGCATTTCATTTTAAGGGAAGACTCAGCATGACCCTCTTCTCTTGTGACGTTCTCAGTATCTGTCTATGTCCTACCCTTTTGTTCACCAACACTTTACTATTTGTATGTCTCCCTGCCAACTCAGACTCCAGCCATTTCAGTATTTTCATGGGCATCACTCTGCCCTCCTCTTTTCTGATTTTCCCAGCTCTATCAATATTTATCTTAATTCCATTCAACTCTCTGCTATACCCCATTTCTATGGTGACCAATTGGTCTAAGTAGGTACAAGTGGAGGCAGCATCAGACACACCACAGAAACATCCTCTACTCAATTCCAGCCCAGTAACGTTACCCTGTAACCTTCAGAGCAGCAATAATTCTGCTTTCTTATAAGATAAAATAATAATGATTGAAGTCGACCAGGTGAATAAAGAATTGACAGAAAACTCCACAATATCACAAGGAAAACTTAGTCATAAAGAATTTCAGAGTTGGGCTTTTTTTTTTTCTTTCCATTTTTAACAACCTCATCTTTCATCTCTGCAGAAGGCCAGCTTCTTTACCACTGAGCAGCCCACACCATGGTCTTGCTGGAGACAAGCGCTTGTGTGATTTCAGTACGTGGTAGAGGTTTAGTAATTAAATACAGGACACAATTCCAAACAAGGGCAAATGAGGGCTTGGCCACTCATCAGGTGAGATGACAAATGGCTGGCCCTTGTCCATCAGCATTGCTGTAATTAGGACATGTTAACAGAGCTGCTGCCAGTACACAGCCTTGTACATGTCCCTGTTGGGCATTTCAGCTTAGAACATGAGTTTTCATTATTTTTAGCAGAAGTCAATTAGTTTAAAACACACCATTTCCCAGCAAGAATTACGTGTTTTATTATTTAGCAACCTCCACAAATGGTAATAGCTTAAATATTTACCAGTGGCTTTGGGACAGCTCCCATCATTTCCTAAATTTGTATTGAATGTATTCCAGGAATGTGGGTCAGAGTCCTCACTCTTCAGGGCATATAACCTACGTACATTCTCTCATATAAGTTATTTCTAGATTACTTATAATACCTAATGGAAATGCTGTATAAATAGCTATACTGTGTTGTTTTTATTTGCATTATTTTAATTGCTGCATTTAAAAATTTTATTTTATAGTCATGTATTTTCCGTCTGTGGCTGGTTGAATCTGCAGATTCGAAATCTGAGGTTAGGAGGGCCGACTGTATAAGAAACAGGTGTGTTTCCACTTTGCAGGGACACTTCAGTAACTGCCGCTCTCTGCTTGATCAACAGTAGTTCCTACTGCACTGAAACGAATGTCCTCCTCTTGGACACACGAGCAAGTTAACCTCTGGCAAGATCTCACAGATTAAGCGAGGTGGAGATAACACACAGGCTCAGCGGGTTAGACAGACTGCAGAGCACCTGGATAAGCCAGATAATTGGTGCACCGTGCTCTTATCAGCAGCCTTCTCCAGCTCATCTGTGGCTTACTTTCAGTTCTCCTGAAACCTGCTTTTGTGTGGAGTCTATTTCTTTACATTCCACCTCACTATTGTTAAGAAGAGACCAAATGTTTCAGTCAAGGGGAAAGGTAAGGCAATAATAAGGTACATTCCCAAATATTCTACAACAATAGATAATCCTTTCCCAAAGTGTTGTCTTGTTCCTTAGAGAAGTTAGGTTTAACACCAAGACTTCTATATCCAAGCAAGGCCCACCTTGGGATTCTCTTTCTTGTAGTTGCAGGTCTTCTTGAAATGAACGAGAACCTTGAACTTTTATACTAGGTTAGAGTTTAAGAGCGTCCTAATGCTAAAAAAACATCTGTTCATCAGCCCATTCACCTTATGCCACAGCTCTCCAGAGGGACCTGTGCCAGCCTAGAGCAGTCCACACACAGTTGTGTCTTGGTGAGGTCAAATATGACTGAATAAAAAACAAGAGGCAGCCAAGGGTAAGAGGCATGAACCAATAGTGCACTAATGAGTGACTTTATAGTGGACATCAGCTGAGGTTGTTCTGGTGCAAGTCTCTTCAAAGAGTCTTCCTTATACTCCCAGGAAGAGAGTGTGTGTGGGCTTGACAGAAAAGAAGGTGTTGAAGTAGATCAGAAGGTAATCTACTCACGGTCCTATTTCATGGATTTCTATTTTCTCTCCATTGTTGTAATAATCCAGAAATGTATTATAACTAACATTTGCTCCACTTCAGACTGGTATGTTTTATAACTTGCCACTAATGCCAACTCAAAAGAAGGTAGAAAAAACCAATGGTACATGATATTCTGCCATTCCAGTTTATTGAAATGAGTAAATTTATAGCTTTATTTGCATACAGAAAAGTGCATGAGAAAATAAGTATGTACAAAACAGTTGTGTGGCTGATCATGACTTTCAAAAATTCAACTACCTAGAAATAGTTACCTCCAGTTTAGAACATTTAGGTATTTGGACATTTAAAGTACTATTTCAAGTCTGTGTTTATAGTGACTGAGTAGGAAGCCAGATAGAAAATTATGCCATATATGATCAGCTATTACCGTTAAACATAAACCACAGGACTTTCTACTTGGGGCTAATCAATAGAGGGTCATGTGGCCACTGTCTTGTTTAGCTTCTGAGCATCACCTTCTTCTTCCCCCTCAAGGTAACATTGGATGTGGTTGATTAACTCCCACAAGAACCTGAGCATTAAGTGTCAAGAGACAACATTAAAAACCCAACATCAAAACAAAACTAATTTTGACAAGAATAAACCCTTCAGAACTGTGCTCACAACAGGACTGAAAATGAACTGGGAATGCTGCCAACTTATGAGAAAAATATTGCAGACATTAGATTTTCAATGGTTACCCCAAACATTTGTTCTACAGCTTTTTCCTCCCCACTTATCTTCCTACTAACGATGAGATTGTGGCTGCAAGGAAGCTTTCCAGTTACTTGATAAAGGCCTAGCACGACCCCAAATAAGCACCTAATATGTTTGGCACAATCACATTTAGCTTTGTGATATGTTGCTCTTCAAAATAGAGTCCTTTGTTGCTGAGTTGAGTTCAATTTCTCTTGAACATTAACTGCTCTTCTGGAACTTCAGCTCAATAGAATGGCCTCCTCTTCCACAGGAAGGATATAGGTTGTGCCCATTTGCAATTCTAGTTTCTGGGACTAGCAATTACTGAGAATGAAGAGAGGCTCCAGATTTTTTTTTTTTTTTTTTTTGCCCTGTGAGAGTCTGTTGCTTGTGAAAGGGTGGTAATGCTACATGAACCCAGGAGCAAAACTGACTGAAAAGAGAATCAGAAAAAAAAAAGGAGAGGAGAGATGAATAATGCTCTTCCCTCATTTGCAATAGCTAGCAGGAGATTGGAGAAAAGGATAATCTTGGCCTTGGGGGAAACTGATCTTCAGAAAGAAGAGAAGCTATCTCTTTAAAATTGTCCTTAAGTGTGTTTGATTCCAAAATGTCTAAGAATTTGGAGTTGCTTCAATTTTACTTTTAAAATTCTCTGTAACTGATGGTCTGAAGCAAGACTTCTTTTAAGAAGGTGCCTTGTTCTACTATAGCCTTTAGGTTTTATGCTCTGAAACAGAACCCCCGAACAACTTTGAACAATAAGGATTTAAAAATTTATTCAAAACAGTACGATATGAAGGGATTTGGTGGCTGCATCTCCCAACCAAAGGGTAGAAGACAGGTGTTCTAGAAGGTTCTAGGGACACAATAGTCAGGGTCCAGTAGGGAAACTACTGTACTTCATTTACACTTAAGCTAGAGAGTTTAGGATCTTAATTTATTTAAAGCCATAGATTCAGTTTAGCTTTAACCTAGACAGAAAGTGAAAAGCATTTTACAACTAGAAGAGGCAATGAGAAATAAGGCAACAGATAATATGTCAAAGCTGGAACAGGGGCAGAAATCAGGACGTGTCTGGCTATCAGCTTTGTTTTTGACTACTAAGGCCAATCATTTTATTCCTCTGGATGGTCTGCAGACCAAGTTCCTAGAGAGGTGTGGAGAAGAAAGAAACCCATGGTTAGAATTTTTGAACTGAATATCAATGTATTAAATATCAAGTCATTATTAAAGGTGTCAGTAATAGTATCTCCTAGGGCTAATGTGAGGATTGATACAGATGATAAATGTAGAACATCTAATAAAGGGATTACAAGTGCTCAATGTTAACTATTTCACCCCATGAGAGTTCCCCTTACCCAATCTATTGATGTAGCAGGTTGACCTAAACTATCCTGTCTTCATGACCTAAAGAAGAAAGAGCCTCTAAAAAGAAGTCTAGTTCATTCAGTTTAGGCCATACAGTTCTCTGAAGCAGGTTATGGAAAGGTGCTATAGGAAACACAGTCATTAGGGAATAGCTGGAGTGAGGGAGAATGATCTAAATGCCTATAAGCTCAATCTTATTGTTGTTGCCACATTTAAGATATTTGTCTATTAAAAATCATTATATTTTAGATGGGCCAAATCACAGGTTAGTAGTCTTGTTTGGATTAGACAAGGTTGGAAAAAAATGGGTTTCGGCTTTTTTTCCTCATTATTTCTATTGTTCTACCCCTACCAGCTTCTCTACCTGCTCTAAAATGGGGAGAGCCTTCTTTTTCCTACTAAATTCAGTCTCTTAAGATCAGAACAAAGTTGCTATCACCTGCTGTTGAGAAAGAGTTACAATGAGCCCTCCCAGGGTTTCAACTGAAGGTAATTCTATCTAATCCCTTATCTAGGACAAAGTCCATGAGACAGAAGGATCAACCTTTGGATTCATTTTGAGCTCCTACTGCCTGTGAAGGAGATCTTTAACAGTTGTTAAAACTTTTAGATTTACTACCATCAGACTCTTCCAGACCAACTTTGAGATTGCTCACAAGTAATAAATGGTAAGAGGAGTCATGATCATAATCTGTTTTGCTGACTTGTATGGTGGCTTCAGAAGGATATGAAAGTAAAATGGTTAGAGACCTGTGATGTGTTGTTTTGAGTTTTACTTCCCACACAGAACTGAAAAACCAAAAACATGGGATAAGATAAAAATACACATCCCCAAGGGCATATTACTATTTTTTTATGTGTTTAGGTATTCTGTTCTTAAGTGCCCAGCCTAGTCATTATTGAATGATCTAAGTAAAGATTTCCATGTTGATTACTCCTAAATTATAGATATTTAACCTTTTCCCAATTCTAAAATTAAAATTTCTCTCTTTACTCCATGTTACCCTTTCTCACAAAAACCCCTGAGATAACCTTATTAGGATCTTCTACTTACAGAATTTAGGCAAAAGGATTTCCAAATGGATCCCTATATATCTCAGAAGAGACAGGTTGAGGAGAAGCCATCTAAGAAGATAAAATCATCTAGTCAATAAATACAGTTACAGTCATAAGAAAAAAAATTTACAATGAAGACTTCCAAAATTCTTTTAAAATTGCTTAGGTCATAGGCCAATCAGACATTATATGGGGCTTACAGTGATTGTTTCTATCTGCTTGCAGAGGGCAGTGCATATTATTTATGTGAAAATCAAGGTTCAGATGAATTCCATTTGCCTCCCCCAAATGGGAAGTATTATTTTTATAAGCTATAGAACTATTGTTGAAAAATTAAGAATGTAAATTTTTGAAAGGCTTTCAAGATGGTATTTTGGCTCAATTTTTTCCCAAAATGCTTCCACCGGTTGGTTTAAGTGAGATATGAAAGATGTTTTCTATGTGATACTATGTCTCAAATTCAGAAGATAATCATTCTTGTGCAAATAAACTTTCTTTAGTTTAAATGAATGTTTATACTGTAAAGGTTCTCGGTGACAAATCTTAGTCAAACAAGCTTTACCATCAAAAAGCTATTATAGCCAGGTGTGGTCACTCATGACTGTAATCCCAGCACTAAGGGAGGCCAAGGCAGATGGATCACTTGAGGTCAGGGGTTTGAGACCAGCCTGGCCAATATGGCAAGACCCCATCTCTACAAAAAATAAAAACATTAGCCAGGTGTGGTGGCATGTGCCTAGTCCCAGCTACTTGGGAGGCTGACGCAGGAGAATCGCTTGAACCAGGGAGGTGGAGGTTGCAGTGAGCTGAGACTGCACCTCTGCACTCCAGCCTGGGTGACAGAGTAAGACTCTGTCTCAAAAAAAAAAAAAAAAAAAAAAGCTATTATAAAAGCAAGGTTAAATCAGGAGGCCAGAGTTCTACATGGCATGCACTTTGGAGACAGCTTCTAGTAGTTAATACTTACAGAGGCTTGTGATGAACCAAAAGAATCTTTAGAGAAAGGGTTCTCAAATGCATTGTCAGCAGATTTGGTAACTGGCAGGGAAACTTGTCTGGGCACTGGCTTTGGTGGTTCTAGAAGGCAAAAAATCCAGGCAATCAGTAGACAAGCTTTCCCCAAATATAAGCCAGTCCCCAAGTCAGCTTATCTTTGAAATTTAGTTCCATACTTTTGAAATTAACATCGGTGGAACAAAAATCAACACCAAATCCTAGGTATCCCAATAATTGTTATCTTTCTCAGAAGAGAAAGCCATGCATATTTATCTGAAGTGCGAGAGATTCAGAATCCCCTCACTTAAAAGTCACGGAACATGGATGATGCATCATACAGCCCTCCAAGAACCACCAGTCATCACATTTCAACAGCTCATGGCAGCCCTTTTAAGAATTATCACTAGAGGGCAGCATTGGGTCAGTCCTCAGAAACGACTAGGGTAAATAGTCATAACCAAAAGGTAAATGGTCAAGTTGTCTACGTAACCTTGATTACCAAAAGAAGCAAGAGCAAGGCTCTTGGTAGGTGGGAGAGGGTTCATTTAGAGGATTCATTTAAGTCCATGTGGCAGTGGAGATAGTTGTTGGAACAGTAGGCAGAGTGGTGAGTGGCTTACCGTTGATCTTACTCAGTAGTTGATTAGCATCAAGGTCATCATGGTCTGCATTCTCCTGAGGAATGCCAACCTTGCTGTTGAAATAACTGGAAAAGGCACTTGAAGTCCCAGAAGAAGTCTGCTCTCCCTTCCTTGCAGGCACAGTAGGTGGCTGCCGCAGTTGGAAGTCCTTAAACATTTCTTTCACATCCTTGATCTCTTTATCCCCAAGTGGGTCTAAGGCAGTGAAGGCATCACTGGAGATGTCCTTGGGAGGGCCAGCTCTGGGAGGCGGCTGCGGAGGAGTGACCAGGAGAGAGGAGAGCATGGATGGGGGCTGAGTAGACACAGCAGGAGCTGGAAAAATATTGCTCTGAAAAGGATTCCCCAAAGAGCTTGTTGTTGACCAAGTATTGGGTGCCACAGATGCAGAAGGGCCCCAGACAATAGGCACTGGAGAAGCAGTTGAGGCTGCAAAGGATGAAGGCTGGTTCCAACCTGGAACAGCTGGACTTGTACCAAAAATGACGGGCTGACCAAAACCTGCAGGTTGACCACCCATCATGGCTCCCGGAACCATTGAAGGGGACTGATTGAAGACCAAAGATGTTGTGTTCCATGGTCCCGCCTGAGGGAGTGTGACAGCTACACCACCTGAAGAAAGAGGAAGAAAAGTACTTATCAGGAGACAAGCTTGAAGAAGATTCTTGAATTTCAGAAAGCACAACTCTCTGGAAAGCTTCTACGCAGCTAAGACTTCCATCAAGCCCTGAGGCTGACATGGGAAGAATAAAGGCTCCGAGAGATTAATCACTGTAAAAGTCGGCCAGGTAACAATGTAGAGTGAGCATTCAAATGCTGGTTGCATTCTGAGGCCCATGTTCTTCCCACCATGACTTTTTAGCTTTCCTCATTAGAAGGGTAATACAGTCTATAAGTACCTACTCAACAAAAAAATAAGCCCTTATCATAGGGGCACTAGTTGTCTGATATAATTCAAACAACGTGAACAGAGCCTGTCAATAGCAGGAGACTATTTGTTAAGTGAATATATTTATATGCACAAACCATGCTGATTTTGATGTAGTTAATTAAGATAATCCACTGGACTCTCTTAGTCATGGATTTGATCTTTTCATTTGGCAGCTCGCTCATGTCTGGAGTCTTATGGAAACCAGTGATCGCACATGTGCACAAGGCCTCAACATGCTTGCATCCTGAAGACACCATTTCAGTTTCTTCATTTTTTAATGCTGCCAAGGCTGACACAGCTACATAAAGGGAAGATAAAGTTTGGCCAATGCTAAGATAGTTTTAGACTTTTATATATAAAAATGGAGGAAAATATGTTATCCTGGGAGGACTGTTTCAAATAAAAGTGCTTCCTGCCATGTGCCACTCACTAAGCCTTGCCAGAAGTTAGAACAGAGAATTTAAAAGAGGAAAGGAGGGAGAGAGGACAATGGAAACAAACATCTTTCAGGGTAACTAATGGCCTGCGTTGGGGCATCTGATCTTTGTCGTGACTGGCTCCATCTCTTGTGGCCTTGCTGTGTTATCAGGAATTTGTTAAATCACAACAATCCAGGTCTCTCCAATGATTACCTCTGATTCTTGAGAGGCTTGCTCCCTGCATCTTGTTCTAATATGCAGGGTGCTCTCTTTCCAAGTGCATTAATGATTCAGCTAAACTGTCACTGCTAACAAGGAACCCAAATTCAGTCTCGTATCTATTAATGGGTGATCCTTTGTTCTTGAAACCTACTTACTTTGAGCTTTGTGGACAGCATTCTTTTTTTTATTTTATTTTATTGCATTTTAGGTTTGGGGGTACATGTGAAGAACATGCAAGATTGTTTCATAGGCACACACGTGGCAGTGTGATCTGTTGCTTTCCTCCCCATCACCCACATCTAGCACTTCTCCCCATGCTATCTCTCCCCAACTCCCCTCCCCCCACTGTCCCTTCCCTATTTCCCCCCAACAGACCCCAGTGTGTGATGCTCCCCTCCCTGTGTCCATGTGTTCTCATTGTTCAACACCCGCCTATGAGTGAGAACATGCGGTGTTTGATTTTCTGCTCTTGTGTCAGTTTGCTGAGAATGATGGTTTCCAGGTTCATCCATGGTGGACAGCATTCTTTAGTTCTGAAAGTTTTCTTCAGACTTGGGTTAGGGATGTTTATGTTTCCAAGAGGGAACACTGTGAACATGGTGTTTAGGTGTGATGGAGCGTGAGACTATATCTTCGAGCTTCTTAGTCTGACACACTGGTATTACCTGACTCCATTCTTATCATGCATGCCAGGCATCTGGCCACGGGCACACATGGTGTGCTCACAGAGAGTGGTGGGTTTCAGAACAGGCCATTTCACTTCATCAGCATGCTCATTGTGGGAGGTGAGGAAACTGGGTGCAGGCTATTAATTAAAATTGTGAAGGTCACTGTCTGGGATGGTAGAGACTGAAAATCAGGCACATGCTGGCTCTGCATCCGGCACCCCATTCTCCTGTTCTGCTTCCTTGGCAGCAAGGCACGGAGCAATTTTTATTTTCAAATGCTATGTTAATTCAAATACTTATTTCATAGATACAGAAATTAGACTTAATTTTCACTGAAGAATATACTCCTTTCATGACAAATCAAGAGAAAAGTTCTCTTATATTCTGAAATACAGGCTCTCAAAATGGGCTTAGTTTGAACAAAGTTGTTGCTCGCATTTTAAAATACATTCAATTAAATTGTATTAACAGAAACCAGATCATTCACTAATAATTTCCACCAGTTACATGTACAAAAAGGAAGGCAGAATTTCATTATGTTTCATGTTGGACAATTTGTCTTCACTTAGGAAAATACCACATTAGTGCGAATGGTATTTGTAAAAGAGAAAAATATTAGGGCTGGGTGCAGTGGCTTACACCTGTAATCCCAGCACTTTGGGAGGCCATGGTGGAAGGATTATTTGAGGCCAGAAGTTCAAAACCAACCTGACCAAAATGATGAAACTCTGTCTCTACTAAAAATATAAAAATTAGCTGAGTGTGGTGGTGCACACCTGTAATCCCGGCTACTAGAGAAGCTGAGGCACAAGAATGGCCTAAACCTGGAAGGCAGAAGTTGCAGTGAGCTGAGACAGCACTGCTGTTCTCCACCCTGGGTGACAGAGTGAGACAGTTTCAAAAAAAAAAGTGGAAAATATTACATTTGCCAGGAATTCAAGGCCTTCCCAGTGTACACTTAAACCAGTCTTCATTCCTACCCACCAAATTCCACACATTGTGTTTCAATACATTTAAGGCCCAGCTGGACAAAGTAGGGGCAAGGACTAAGGAAAAGGGGATATGGGTATAGAACATTAATTTTATGACCTTCTGAAGGTAGATTAAAATACAGGGTAGCAAGTTGAAGCTGAGGGTTCAGCTTTCTACAATATCCTCTCCCCACCCCCAGTTCTCCAGGGGAGACAGTCCCCCAGCTGGGTCTAGCGGAAGCCAGACCTACAACCTTCCATGGTTTGGCTGAGGATCCCTGCTAGTGGACAGGGACTATACTGTAGAGCTCAGTTTGAGTCCCATGTCCAAACTTGGAACAATCATCAGTATTCTGCAGTTGTATACCCCAAGGCCTCAACAGGGGCACCTAGCCAAAAAGCTTCACTTCGTCTGAATAAATAAACAGTTATAGCGTCCAGCTGTATTTTCAGGCTGACTTGTTAAATATTGGCTGCAAAAATTCTTAAGGGCATTGATATTAGATACAAAGCTCTGTGATGCGATCTCGCTGCAGACACTGCATTGCAAGTACTCTGGTCTTCTGTGAGGAAAGGGTACCAGCTCCACTTGGGGGTGCAGGGAAAAGAGCAATGAAGAAAGGGGGAAGTCCCCCCAGAAACATGAAATCTTTAGAGAGAGCCACTTGATGGAGTAAATGCGAGTAGAGACCTGGGATAAGCTGGCTTTTCATATCCTCACAAATTTCAGCCACTCAGCAGTTGAGTAACAATCCACCTCTGGCCACCCTATTCTAGATATGATTCACAGATTTCTTGTAAAAGAACCAAAATATTTTCCTTTGTAGGAAAACAATAGAGAGAGGAAAAAAACAAAACAAAACTAGGGTTGTGATGACGGACTTCAGAAGGCAGAGAAAGCCAGGATCCCTGGTCAAATTTTACCAAAAAAGAGGACAGTTCTTCTTGATCTATAGTCCTCCACCTCCCAAGCCAGAGTCCCTTTGGAGTTTGTAGAGGTGCCAAGAGCAGAAACATAAAGAGTCCACAGCAGGACGGCAAAACTATTGTCGGGTGTGGATGAGGAATAGCAAGGCCAGCCCTTAGTCAAGTGGACTTCCCCACTGTCCTGCCACAGAGTAATCAACCGCTCACACAAGCTAATGACACATTTAGGAATTAGAAGCATCAACACATCCTAGCTGTCTGATAAAATTCCATCTCTTCACTTATTTCTTTGCTTTTTCAACTTTGGCTTTCTAGGACTTAAGCTCTAGCTTCAGTAAAACACTCAAGCTAGCCAAAATGTTGGCAAGGAGCTGCTATGGCAGAAGCATTCAGAGACTCATCAGGATGTGTGCCTAACCCACCCTTACCATACACCTAGGAACAGCTGGGCCCAGAACCTATGACTTTCACTCTATGACTTATTCTTGCTTCAGACTGAACTTATATCCTTCTTGGGCATATATTCCTCCAAGAAGGCTATGTGTTGAAAGGGCATAGGCCTTCTATCTATTATGGCAAAAGATATGTAAGACATGCATGTTGCTACAGATGACAGACAAACCTCTCTCATGTGAACCCCTTTTTGCTACTGAAGCTGATCTGAGTTTAGAATCCCTTACAATTGTCTTTCAGGAAACCATGACCAGTTGGTTCAAGTAAGCACAGTATTGAAAATGAATTTCTTGTCTCATGCCGCCTCGAGGAGCCAAATGTTAGTTACAAATCAAGAATATCAAATGGAGGTGTGGTTGTATAGGAGTAAAAGTGGGCGAAGGGCTCCCTGGGATGCTCAGATCTTTTGTCTGTAGAATCCTCTAGGAATATGGAATGTCTTCCAATGCATCATCATTTTATGAGTGAAAGCAAATAGTCATACTTAACTTTATCTCTAGGCACCTACCTATCCCCGCCAGGGGCCCCACTGGGGCAGGAGCACTTGTCTTGAAGAGATCCAGAGGGTTGGGCTGCAGGGCTGCAGACTGTCCTGTAGGTGACGCCTGGCCTGAAGGTTCTGAGACGGGAGGAGCAAAGATGTCTGATGCAAGCAAGTCATTGGCTGAAGACTGACAGGACAGGGAGGGAGGGAGAAGCCTGAGTTACTCACAGTGAAATACAGCTTCACTTTGCCTCCTACTCTATACCCCAAATTTGAGAGCCACAAAAAAGGAAAACTTTTTTCTTGATGGATAAACAACATCAACTACTACAGAAAAACAGTCACTCCCAAAAAAGACACAGATTCCTACAATGGACAGACTACTGAGTCTTAATGTCTGATACTACCTAGGGCTTGCAATGTAAAATCTATTATACTCATTTACACACTCGCATTGGTCTGGTCTCATCGGCTAAAAGCTTGAAGTTGGGGAAGCAAGTGTGTAAAAGGGGCAACTATAAATAAGCATCCTAAATATTTTTGGACATTCCATTGGATTTTATGTCAGTCTACATAGAGATCATACAGTCTTAATCCAGGCAAGCCTACATATTCCTAGGAGAGGTTAAAAAAGACACCTATAAGAACTGCATTTTAAATTGCTCTTAAATAAAGCTGAGATCACAGTGGTAATAGTAAATACATAGGCTTTTTCTAAGCTTATGTATTATTTAGTGAGTATTAAAAGAGGAGATAAGCTCAAGACTTTTACACCACCACCACGGACATTAATGCAACACGATGGGTGTGCAGGGCATGTGTTAGTGTCAGGGAAGTACAAAGGGAATCACAAGAACTCTTGCCCTCCCATCCCAGAACATGATGATCAACTTACCAGAGGTACAGAAGCATAGCAGCATTAAAAATGGAAAAACTTGTGTTTAGTTTAATCATAAGTGACAAGACATGCAAACAGAAAGCAGGGTGTGACAAACACTGCTCAGACGCTTAAAACCGGTGGCAGTTAGAGGAAAGCACTCCTGGAGAACCACAGTGCCTTATCCCACCTTCTATTTCACAGCCACACAGGAAACTACGAGAGCAGCAGGAAAGAGAGCTTGCATCACACCACCCTTTGGTACCGAACATGCACTCTGCTAATGGATATGTGGAGAAGACAATTCACCTTAGCAGTCCTTCTGCCTCTTCCTGGTTTGGTACTTTGTGGAGGTGGGATAATGGCTATGGAGTCATGTGGTGAGGACTGGACAGAGCTTTCCAAGTCCTGCTTTACGCCATTCTGTACAGATAGTCCTTTGGGAGGGCTTCCCACAAAAGGGTTCGGGGAGGATTTGACAGGGTGTTCTCTTTCAGATACCCCATTTTGAGTTCTCACTGCTGGCTGGGTTTGCGAACTCGAAAAGGGCCATGGGCCTGCCTGAGCTTCCTGTTTGCCAGTCCGGTTAGAGATCTGGTCAAATTGCTGACCAAAGTAGTCAACATCACCATTCAGGGGCCCATTACTCAGTGGAGTAGACAAGCTACTCGAATTCTCTTTCTTCTGATCTGGAGATTTGAGAGAATCAAACGAAGAAGGTGTCGATTGGTCTGGCTGTGTGAAAGGATCGTCACGGAAAGGATCAGGATTAGGGGTGGGAAAGAAGTTGAGATTGGTAGAAAAGGCATTTTCAGGCAAGAAGGATGCCTGAGGCTTTGGTCGAGGAAGAGAGCAGGAGGTGATGCCATTTGTTAAGAATGGATTTTCTCGTAAAGAATTCTGATTGGTGTCGATTTCAGAGTTTAGATCCACTAACAGGATATCTTTGCTTTCCTATCACATTTGGAAAGAAAAAAAAAGAAAGTGTTAGTCCATATTGTGGCTTCAAATGAGAAAATTACATAAAATGACTAGGATTATCAGAATTTCCATTCCAATTTGGTCTTGATATACCAGTTGATCATTACCTCCTTCCATCACCCCCTAAGTCCATTACTCCCTAGCTCTAGACTAGGTCCTCTCTATCCCTCCCCAGTATCATGCACTTTTATTTAAGTCTCAACATCATTAAATGAAATCTTACTGTTGCTTACTTCATGTCTCTGTTCACCCTGGTTCATACATACAGACCGGCGGAATTCATTATCAGCACTGTTTCAATTTGTGACTTTGAAAGTCTTGAAGGGAATTGATTGTGAGTCACTCTAAATGATTATCAAAGTATGTTGAGCTGGAAAGTAAGTGATTTCAGAAGGCTTGCTCAGCTTCCTACCTGATACACATACAGTCCCCTCTATTGTACCCCCAGAGTCATGTAGGATCATCTATCTGAATGAGCAAATTCATTGACTAATACATTCATATTTTATAGTTCTGGTTGTGATGAATTAAAGGTCAAATGCATTTCCCTAATATCAGTCCAGTTCTTTCCTCTAGAGGTGGGAGAGAGGCTTTTCCTTTATATCACAGTCTTCAGGTATACCTCTAAATATTTAAGGCTCTTGCTGAAGCTGATAGGCAAGCAGGATCCCATCCTCATCATCCCAGTCTCTCCCCTGGCCTTACCCTTTTTGTCTATGTCCTCTGAAAGAGACACTCAATACTGATCTAATTTAATTGATCACACATTAAGATCTCCTATTTGTACATATTTTCATAACATTGCTTAGAGTTCCTATGTTGTGGTAGTAATTTCATCTACTTAGTGGTTGAAGTCAACCAACAACTGGTCTTTAATTTATACACAGTAGTCCCTCCTTATCCTCAGGGAATATGTGGCCCACAGTGGATGTCTGAAACTGCACATAGTGCCAAAACCTACATACAGTATTTTTTTCCTATACATACATATGATAGAGTTTAATTTATCAATTAGGCACAATAGGAGATTAACAATAATAACTAATAAAATAGAGCAGTTCTAACAATATGCTGTAATAAAAGTTTTGTGAATGTGCTCTGTCTCTTTTCTCTCAAAATATCATATTGTACTGTACTCACTTATTTTCAGACCAAGGTTGACCGCGGACTTATTTTCAGAAAGTGAAATTGCAGATAAATGGGGACTATTGTACAAGGTAGAGACATGGGTTTAAGAGTTCATTTGAAAGACATATAATATACATAGCTCTACTAATTCTATTCCTTCTCTATCATTGCTCTAGTGTGTTAATTTGTAGGATTTTCAACTGTTCGATAAAAAATTCTCAGCTGAAAAGCAGTAGATTTGATGAATCCAACATGTCTTTATTCCAGGAAAAGACAGAATTATAACTCATCTTAGGATAGAACTTTTATGCTGGTATCACTTCCTTCTGCTTGACTTTGAGCCATTAAATACTTAACTATTCTGGCCAGAGGAGAATATAAATGATTTAAAAAAAAAAAGCCTCACTGAAGTGGAAGTTATAGTAGTTATCTTGCATTACCCTGGGCAGAATACGAAATATTTTGATCATGGAGGGGGGGAACTTCAAGAGAATATAAAATTTGCAAACTAGTAAATACAAAAGGGCTCAAATAGACCTCCTTGGCTTTTAATGGGGAAAAAAAACAAAAAACACCAAATTTTTAGAAAGGTTAAGTCCTATTTCATGGCCACAAAAGAGATAGCAAAATCAGACCTAAATGATGTTCTATCTTTTGGCTTCCTTTACTGTGAGGCATAAAAACACAGTTTTTATAAGCCAAAGACAGGTTTTCTCTTTATAAGAAGAAGAATTTGTTAGAAGAAAGAGCTTACAATTAAAAAGTTTTTAATCAGAGAAATGGATTGGAGGAGCTCTTAATGTTGGGATATTTATACAATCAAAAGGTAGGATAAAATGTGTTATAAAAGCTTGTGATTTCGATATTGATTTGTTATGAGCCACCTCTGGGTTAGAACAGTTGAGTGTTCACAGCTGGTAGAGTTCTCCTTTTCAAACACTTCAGAAGAAGTTCTTAGGACACCAAACAGGAGCCACAATGTTAGACTTCTGAATAGTCACCCTATAAGTAAAATGTATAAGGCTCTCCTCAGGCTGGGTTTGTTATTAACCCAAGATGAAACGTGTAGTTCACAGGCTATAACTGAAAGCCCTAAGAATCCTCATCCACCCCTCCTTGGTCAAAGCCTCATTCATTCTTTGTGGGACTGTCAATACTGCATCCAGTTGGCCACTGTTTGAGCACACAAGCCACAGGCACTGGAAACATGGCAGTGAGTTACAGTACCTGCTCGTAGGGAGCTCCAGGAGGTGGACATAAATCCTGAGTTCCATAGCCTAGCTCTTCTCTGGGTACCTAATCTCATCTAACCATTCCAGTTTGCCAGGCTGAGGACTTCCCTACTCAAAGCCTTAAGTGGCTTCCTGCTGCTCCCTTTATTAAAATAACCTTCCTTAAGGCCAAATTTTCAAATGATCCACAATAGGACCCACGTTGTTTCTAGCCCAACTACTATCTATTTTCCCACACACTTCAAAGATCCAACTCAATTTCAGATTCTTTACAACACTTTTCGCACTGATTTTTCTATCTCCACTTTCCCTGTGTCCACCCGTGTTATCATATGGCATGTATACAAGGGCATAAGTGACACTTGTGCTTTGTACCCTGATCCCACCCCTTGTACCAGATTTAATCTCCTTGATCATAGATCATGTCTTATATTCTTCTCATAGTAACTGTGCTTTCAAGTGGTTACGTTGTTAAGGTTACAGAACATGGGTTTTCATGTTTTTCTATTTTGTATTTAGATGCAGTATGGAAGGATAATGCTCAAGGGGCTTGCCAGTAAAAATTCTGTTCTAGGGAATGCCACACAGTTCCCAAAGAGCATTATCTGAAATTCATAAAACTTTTCTGTGTAAATTTGAGGGGAGTCGCAACCATCTAGGACCAATATAAAGTCTAGGTCATTTACATTTCTTTCTCTCTTCACATATTTCAAAGCAATTGTTGTAGGAGTTGAATATTTTTAAACATGCTGGCTTTATCAAGTTGAGATAAATATATTTTTGACCTATGAATATAGAGTCAAGAACATGTTGTCAGAGGGTAACCAGCACATAATTAGATCTGTTGGCCTTCTTTTGGTCAGAGATTACTGTTTTGATGGTATTTACTATCTTATTGTTAGTTTAACTAAAACTTGAATTCCTATAAATAAAAAGTTCTTAGGCTTCATAAAGTCTAATAAAAATGAGACTGAAGATTACCCATGTTATTTTTCATTTCCTTTTTTAGAACATTCTAGAAGACCACAGAAGTAGATTATACAGGCAGTACTTCCTTGCCTGTTCCACTGGAATTCCACTTCATATCTTGAGTGCTTTGCTCTCTTTGAATATTACTTGTTTGAATGTCAGTTATACTTGGGAAGTAGGGTGTTCAGATACTCATGGAGTTTGGAGAAAGCATCACTAACGGAGGAGAGGGCAAAGTTGAATACAAATCAAAAGGCTCTCAGAGTTAGGATGGACCTGTCAGGATAATCTAATCTAGTATTTTAAAAAGTCTATCCTCAGAACTATAACAAACATTATGAAGAATGAAAGGTTCTATAGGCAAGTGACTTAGAGCTCACTGTTAAAATGAATATTACACAGGCTTCTCTCTTACAGGCATTTAGAATGCTACCATGCACTGTCATACTCATATGGTTAGGGTCAGAGAAGAATGCATGAAGCCCCTGTTCCTCTCCATCTCATTTGACCTGAAAGTTTTATGCAGTAAGGATTCACATGCCTTGAATTTTCTGCAGAGCTCTGGGAAATGAGAATTTTACCCAATTTTTGATATGTTGCTTGAAATCCTGTGACTTTGGTCACATAGGCTCCATGATAATTTCTTGATACAAGAGAGTCCTAACTAGACATTTCCCCCATTATTCTAGACTAATTCTTTTTGTCTGCTTATTGCCTTCTCATCTTTTATGTTCAAATTAGAAAGTCACTTCCTCAGAAGCATTATCTGAATCTCTGAAGTAGATAAATACCTTGTAAGTAGCATCAATTACTAATGATTTTATTAGTTTTAATGCTGGTCTCCCTGTTAGCGAGTAAATTCCATGATGTCATTGATATTGTGCATCTTACTGCTATGCCTTGCAAATAGCAGGTGCTTAGGAAACTGTTACATAAATAAATGAAGTTGCAAGAAGTCATTCAAAATGTCATCGACATTTTCATTAGACATCTTTTTTGGAAAAACTGAATACTTGGGCTTAAGCCTTGAATCTGGACCTCTTTCCTGTTTTTTTCCTGAACCACAATTTTTTTTAAATTTATAAAGGAAAATATTGTTCTACTCTTACATGCTTGTTACAGATCATTCATTATTGAGCAGACTTATGGTATAAAATTCTATAAAAATGGGCAGTTTTCTAATAAGGACAAGCTTTGGTGGAATACAGCTGAGCCTCTTGTTTGTTTTAAATCTCACTTCACACTAAATTTATGCTGCTAAATTGCAACAGACAGAATGCAAAAAAAAAAAAAAAAAAAAAAAAACCCAAAAAAACAAATGAGGCTTTATTATTAAACATCTAACAATCATACTTTCTTCAAGTAGGCTTATGCAAGGACTATCATTCAGCTCCTCCTTCCATTCCTCAGTGATACCAAGAAGGATTACATTGCTGACCTATTACTCAGGTTTAACAGATAAGCAATATTAATATAACTGAATTAGTGTGGAAGGTTCCCATTGGTGACTTAAGATTCACATTTATTCTAAGAGCCATTGACATTTCATTTCTAAAAATCAACAGTCACCTTCCAAGTTTCAATGAGATGCTTAACATTTCTGGTTATTGCCAATTTGAGTTATAGATGTCATTTCTATTACATTGCAAATTTAAAAATGAACACTTACTGTTGGACTATTTAGGTCAGGAGGTGTGGACATGTCCCCAAACAAATCCATCTGGTCAACACCCTTAAAAAAGTATTTGGATTAGATTTAGATGTGTCTGCTAAAAAAGGTTACTTCGTATACTGTTGTGATCATTTGTTTCCTAAAGTTTGGGAAAGTAGTTGTCACAATTTAATTTCGATTTAACTAATAGATTTGATATTAAGCTATTTAGGTCAGGAAGTGTAGTCATGTCGATTTCCCCAAGCAAATCTATCTTGTCCACACTCTTAAAAAGTATTAGCTTAGATTTAGGTGTGGCTACTAAAAATGTTACTTTTCTAATTTTTTTTATTACTTTTGTTTGTTGACATAGATGTTACACTAACATTTTGAAAAATAGTTATTGCAATTGGATTTTCATACAGATTTGGTATTAGCAACATCTACATGGGTTCTACAACCCATGTTCAGATAAGTAAGAACTGTCAAACATCACATATTAATACATACCAATTTCATTTTGTTAGTTTGGTCATCTAGAATCATTAGGGTCTCACTCCCATTCTGAAAAGACAGCAAATATTTAAGGATTTAGTTGAGTTTTCTCTATAAAATGTATTTGTTCACTGTATTAGCTTGCCAAGCAGTAGTTACTTTGGCATTTCTCTTTTAACTAAACATCTTTCATGATCAGAGAGGTCATAAACACAGTAATAAGCAAGGTGACGAGAGTGGTTGGGCAGGTAACAAACAAGGGTTTATAAGCATCACACACGATTCACGGGAAGTAAAGATGTAATTTTACCTCAACTGTTTTGTTGGCTTCCTCCATCTAAAAAGAAAGATCCATATTCAGTGATCTTAGTATTCCTAGTGAAAGGTGATTAAATACAAGAACAAGCATACCTATGATTGATTCATAGGCGTAAGGTAAGAATGAGTCTTGTGTATTATTTCTGCCCTCCGTTCCCCTCTCTTTTTCATATCAATATTAGATTTGAGTAGAGTTATTGGATTTAAACTTGGTTATCCTATATATTTTCCAGAATTAATATGAATCTTGTAGGGAGAAAAAAAATAGAAGCCAGGGACTGGAAATCATAACTGCCTAACCATAAAATCTATCCATTGCCCTACTGGGAAGAATAGACAATACATACAGAAGCCAAATACTCAGACAGACCATATTTATACATAATATTAAACATAGACCTGAATACAGTTTTTGGGGTTTTTTTTTCTTTTTTGAGACAGAGTCTCACTGTGTCGCCAAGGCTAGAGTGCAGTGGTATCATCTCGGCTCACTGCAACCTCGACCTCCTGGGTTCAAACGATTCTCCTTGCCTCAGACTCCTGACTAGCTGGGATTACAGGCGACCCACAACCATATCTGGCTAATTTTTGTAGTTTTAGTAGCAATGGGGCTTTGCTACATTGGCCAGGCTGGTCTTGAACTCCTAACCTCAGGTGATCTGCCCACCTCTGCCTCCTGAAGTGCTGGGATTACAGGTGTGAGCCACCACGCCCAGTCAGTTTTAAATTTATTAGAGCTTTAATCAGGTAGTACTTGCCTTTTTCTTTTCTTCTTCCTTTTTCTTTACATTATAGATAACTTGAAAAAGGTCTTTAAGGTCAACAACTAATGGTTCAGCCTGCAGCAAGGGAAAGCATGGTCATCAGTATTTTAATTTTAGTATTTTATTTCCTTTGTCTCAGTTATAATTCATACTGGGAGGTTTTTCTTTTCTTTTCTTTTTTTTTTAAATTTTAAAACTCCTTACTACCCTCCCCTGGCTTATAGGAGATTACCACTGACCCAATCCCCACTCTTAGGTACATAAAGGACAGCAGGGTTAATAAGTATTTAGACAAAATAAGAGGTATCACAACCATTTTTGAAGTCCCTTTAAGGTTTCTGAGAGTAATTCACCATTGTTCTGTAATCGGCATTAACTGTATAAGAAGGTCCATTCTCACAATCCTGTGCCAACAGCAGTATATGGCTATCAATGACATTTTAAAAAGATTCATAAAAATAGTCATTCTCTGAATCATTATTTAGCCTTCCAATATCCAATTGTTTCTATCCAATTGTTTTATTGGAATGACTAACCAATAGTCATTCCAATAAAAATAGTCATTCTCTGAATCATTATTTAGCCTTCCTATATCCAGTTGTTTCTAGTAAATTTTCCAGTTGAGTGACAGACACTCCAATGCCGAACAGAGAACAAGTCCCCATGTTTATGTCAAGACTTAGAGCTCACCTGCTGCCCAGTTTTTATGGCAAAAAACTGATGCTGGCCTTCTCCTCCACACACGTAACCAAATGCCCGGTTGTCTGTCACATCACGGGCAATGAAAGAAATCTTATTTACTGGATGTTCATGCTCTATTACCTTAAAAAGAAACACAAAGAGTAGTTCATTAAGAAAACTAGAATGTATTTGCAGGCTAGCACACCTAAGCCTCAGACACATATATGGAGGTATATATGAAAAGGTTAAACCATTTGAAGAAAGATTTTTAGTTTCTGGTTGAAAGCTAGAGTATTAGTCTTGCTAGAAAGGGCTCCAAAAGAACGGAAGACTAGAAAACAAAAGTGGGAAGAACGTCTCTTTGTAAAATATTGATACTAGGCCGGGGGCGGTGGCTCAATCTCAGCACTTTGGGAGGCTGAGATGGGTGGATCACAAGGTCAGGTGTTCGAGACCAGCATGATCAACATGGTGAAGCCCTGTCTCTACTAAAAATACAAAAATTAGCTGGGTGTGGTGTCATGCAACTGTAATCCCAGCTAGTCTGGAGGCTGAGGGAGAAGAATTACTTGAACCCGGGAGGTGGAGGTTGCAGTGAGCCAAGATTGTGCCACTGCACTCCAGCCTGGACAAAAGAGCAAGACTGTCTCAAAAAAAAAAAAAAGTACTTTACTCTCCCTACTTTAAAGACGTGATGCCACATGTCTTTAAAGCAAGAAAGGAAGGAAGGACTGAGGATTAGAAGATCAAGTGAAGAGGAGACATTCAGCCCTTAAGCCCAGCCAAAATAGGTCTACTTTCCCAACTCAAAGACAAACTTAAATGAACAGCATAATTAAGCTAGGAGTGTTCATAGGGATTCTTTGGTGATGGCTCAGAGTGGCCAAGGAACCATCCTATGTGTTAATGGAACAGTATTCCCAGTATATTCTGGAGGATACCAGAATACATTATATATATATATAAAAAATCTTTTTTACTTTATAAAAATATATATTATATAAATAATTTTCAAAAAAATGTATTTATCTATATTATATATATATATAGATAAGACTAAGTCTAGACTTAGACTCATGTTTATTATAGAACATAAATTCAAAATAAAGTATCCTGTCTCCTTACCTCCCATTCTGTTCTCTGCCTGTTACTTCTGGAGATGTAATATATGCTATATTTGTTCCCTACAGAACTTAGAGAAAGAAGAAGGGGAGCCGAAATTCAAGGAGCAAATTGTTGGTCAGACTCAGGTGGTCAGAGAGGTATCAGCAAATGTCAATTCTTACCCCAGTTTTCTCATCAATTATTTTTATCCCAGAAAGGGAAATATTGACCCAGATCCTTTGTTTATGTTGTCCCTGAGACCGACCAGCTGCTGCCATTCCCTGATGAGGTTGGAAAAACAGGAGAAATCAAATTTTAGAAAACACCCTACAATGCTTTTAATATTAAACTTTTCAAAGTCAGTCCGCTTTGTTTTCAGCTTGGTTTGCCATCTCTGAAAGGATTCAGCAATTTCCATCAGGGACAGCAGGACAGCATGGAAGATGTTGAACTAGGGCATCCCTTCGTTAGCTATGCGAACTCAGACAAGTCACTGTAATTCTCTTGGCCTCAGAATACTCATTGGTAAAGTTCAACTAGAAGATCTTTAGAGATGCTTCTTCTAGGCCTTGAACTATTGAATAAGTATTATTTATTTATTTAAATTTTTAAATTTAAAAAAACAGAAAGGCTAACACTAAGAAATACCAGTGTCAAAGTAGAATCCTGAATTTTATCAGAACAATTCCCAGGTCTAAAACAGGGTATTCCCTGCTCTTCACATATAGTAAGACAAACAATGCACACATTTGCACACAGCTTTTATAGGAATAAGAATACGCTCAGTTCGTCCTAATGTAGAGTTTGCCAGAAGGAAAAGGCATCTAGAGTCCTGTTCTACCTGATAAAACGAGGTCTCTAGGACAGCCCTCCAAATATGCAAACACTCACGGCTTCTCAGAAAATGGGGCGATACTGATGGATAATGTGATTAAAAAGTGTCTCAAGTAATTGAACATAGGTCAACAAGAGCTTCTAATATAATTCCCTCTTTTGGACTTTTGCTTAATATACAGACAAAGCATTCATTTCCCTTTTACCTTTAGTTTCATCATAGAGTCTTGGCTCATTTTATCCCCTCTTGCATCTGGCACGTCATCAATGCCAATCAGCTTGGCTTTATATTTTACACCATCACCTTTGAACCTCGCTAAGAGATATTCATCTGTCTTTTCAGGGCCTGAGAAAAGAGAGGAATACAGGATAAAGTTTACACTTGAATGCCAGTTCTAATTATGACCTCTAGACTCTCTAAAATCTAAGTAATATAAATCCTGATTATACTATAGCTGATCATATATGTGCTATTCTATCCTGTCTTATGCTTACTTCCTTTGAGCAAAATCATGTTCCACAATAAACTGTGTATGGAGTTGGTGTGAGGAGAAAATAAACTCTTAGAAGTACAAAATTGACAGAATTATGGGAAACTTACGGGAACATGGAAGGTGGGAGTTAGGGACATTGTTCATCATAGCTTTTTTCAAGGCTTTAAAAGAATGTAAATATGATAATATACATATTTTTAATGTAAGAAAAATAAGCTGACAAACAATTTACCAACATTTTTAATTATCAAAAAGCAGAAAGGAATTATGGGTAAGTTCTCTTGAGAATTATTAAGATAATTATCCCATCTTTGTAACGTCTTTTGCTCCTCTTAAAAGGTCTGTGTAGTTCCATTCCCAATGAGCCCACTAAAACCAAATGGTAAATGAATTACTGAAAGATAATGATATAATAATTAATGATTGCATTATTAACTGAACAAGATGCTATGAATATTTCCCAGCTGGACCTAAGTGGGTGTAATAGCAGATTTCCAGAGACGTCTTATTACATGTGGGATGAACCAATGTCTTCTGCCAAAGTACAGAACTTTCCTATTAGGAGAACTTGAGACGAAGCTATGATAAGAGCCAGCCCTTACTTTATTCTGAATCTCACATTTCTCCAGGATTAACCACCTCTAGCTTCCTTCCTTGGCTTCAAGGGGCTTTTTCTATACCTTTCTTTTTCTCCTTCTTTGAGGGTGCTTTTGGCGCGGCCTGTTGGTCGGGCTGACCATTGGCTGCACTTGTTTCCACTTCGTTAGACATGGCAGGAAGGCAGGCAGCAAACCCCAGCACCAGTGGACACTTGGTGACACCAGGCGATCCCCAATGGAGAAGTCTCAAATAAACATAACCTCCCACAGACACCTGTAGGCAGAGTTTAGAGGCACAGTGAGATCAGAACACAGCAGACCCAGACTTTATGCCAGAATAGGCTTACACCTAGTGACTTCCTTTTGTAGTTCTTTAGACTCATTTTGTTCCTTCTCCTGCCATATTAGACTGAAGGCTGAAAGCAGGGGAGTGGGTAGGACCATTTCCTTTATAGTTTCCAAAATGGAAAATGTGTGCTTATTAGGTTTTTCTTTAAGACCTTGATATCTGGTAACATTTAATGATTATCTAGCTAAGTAGATTTTTATGCCAAGAAAAGATAGGAATTGAAAGCTTGCTAGGTTTCATAGCAAAACAGAAAGAAATCGAATGCTGAGCCTGGTAAGATTGCAAATGCCATTTCAGATTGGGCATTATAAATTTCAATTCTTCGCAAAATTGCTTAACTGTAAAGGCAGTGACAAGAGTAGAGCTATGAATTTTATCTTACTCACATTGTTAAATTTGTTTTAAGTATTAGGCTTCTGCATATGATCTCCAGGGCTATCCAAGCACTATAAAAGATGTCCATTTTTGCCATTAATACTTATTTGTACCAGGGAAATAATGGATTGATGGGGTGCCCATTATGCAATTCATCTAATATATTTTTATGTTGTTATTCAGCAACGCCATCCTCCAAACAGTCTGTCATGTGCTCTCACAACCTCTCCCCTACCCTCAATGTATCACAGCAGGAGAAACAGGAAAACACAATCATTGTAACCACACAGAAGTGAGGTCACTTTCCAAAAGGTTCCTTCACTTTCCAGGAGTCAATGTTTCTACATAGCTGTGGAGAGAGCTAGAGTGAGTGGATTAACTTTCTGCATTGACTGATGACCAAAGGCAAAGCAAAGCCATTCATTGTTTGTAATCCTATTAAGACAACCTATGGGCTGGCACGCTAACCTCCCTACAACCCCGCCCCCACCAAAAGCCCTCTTCATTCCATGCCTATAGCACCCATTTAAGTGAACATTTTAATCGAAGGACCAAGCCCACCACATGGGAATATCTGTCGTTTGTTAGATACTTAAAGAGCATCTAAATAAAAAGTAAGTCTTAGGTTTTTGCTCAATTTAAATTGCACTTAGCTTGCTTTACATGTTTTCTTAGGGGTCAGTACTTAATTTCTTCCTGAGGTTTAAAATAGTCTTTATAATCTGAACAGCCTTTAAATACATACATTCATGCAATCTGTGTATGAATAATGTTATCTGAATGGCTTCACTTGGAGATTTAGTGATTAATTTTGCTCAAAGATGCCTGGCTGGTTGGCAGCCAGGAGACTGTTTACAGTTGAAAGTCTTACACAGCAAAAGACTCAAAGCCATACTTAACTCAGAACTTATGTGGGCACCAGGCACTATTAAACTTTTACTCGTATTCACTCTAAAAGATTCATAGTAGTCCTATGAGTATTACTGTATCATGACATTTCATTTTCCAGAGGGAAGGCCAAAGCACAGACATTTTAAATGACATAACTTCTAAGTGGTAGAGCCAGGCTTGTAATCCAGACTGGCCCCAAGCCAGAGCTCCTTAACACTGCAGTGACAAATCTCATCTGCGAAGCTGTATTCCAGCACAGCTTCACATTGTCTTCTTGAAATACACATGCCCATTGCATGATTTACACACAAATCTATTTGCTTGTCTGTCTACACCCTGGACTATAATCTCCCTGAAGGTAGGACACTCATTTCTCAATGTCTGGCATATAGATGGCATTCGTGTAGATGGTGATGAGGACAGTTGTAGCTATGTGTATTTTCTTTCTTGCTTGTTATGTGTATACACTGGTATCTATTATCTATTTTCTTATCTATCTTCTCTTTTAATGTAAGTATTTTTGATGTTAAATGTATAATTTTGTCTTTAGGCAGTGAATTATTCAGATGGGACCGTGACTGAAGTGTAGGGTTGGCTCCTGTAGCCCAAAGACACTGTTTCCCAGAAATGAATGTGAAGCCTATTGGGTCTTTGCAGCTTTGGGGTGAGGGTGAGAACATCTTCCTCTGAATGAAAGGCAGTTACAGCTTTTTAGATGGAAACACTTGTGTTGCTATCGGGGGAGCAGTTGAAAAGTGTGGAAGAGTGAATGTGGATGCTGAGTAGCTAGAGGGGTGGTCTCTGTCATTTATTAAGTTGTCTCAGCTTCAGAACCACCTCTGTATCCCTGGTTTGTAAAGCCAGAGCTAGACTGTGCAAAATTCCTGCCTTGCCCGCTGGCTGCATGTCAGTTCTGCCAGTAAGGGGCGCTGGAGAAGGAACATGCACACTGCTTGCTCCTCCTGGACTTCCTTACAGCTTGGGGCTCCTGGGGGTGTGACTCTAGTAGAGCTCCATCACTCCAGCAGCAAGAGTTTCTTCCTAAAACAGCCCCTGAATCCAGTTTTATTTAACTATTTAAACTATTCTTTAAAGATACTTGCAGAACGAGCTTCATTGTGCCTCTCTTGGAGACACCAGCATCAGTCCAGTCCTCTGGTGTACTCTCTCCAGGCCAACAGGTCCCAGGTCCTCAGAGCGTAGGGACTCCAGTCCTAGCTGAGCAGCACTCCCTTCGCAGAGGCCTCAGGAGCAGCACCATGAGAACTTCTCCTCCAGGCTTATAAACTCTGATGGTTCTAATGCCTTACCTTTGTCCCCTCCGCCCTAGAGGTGGTAGCTGCTTTCTGTAGTTTATTTATCCAGTGATAACTTGCTCCTCTTCTCTCAGTTTTCTAGCTAACAACTTTATACCTAGTTAACACTTAATATCTGTGGCCATACAATATTTAATATCTACATGAACAAGCCTGATTTTGGAAGCTAAACAGGGTCAGACCTGGTTAGTACTTAAATGGGAATTAATGCTTAACATGAACATCTTTTAAAATAACTGGTGTGGACTGAACTCCAACTGACACAATGGTAAGGCTAATCTGTTTTGATTTTCCAGATCAAAAAACTATTCTTTAAGGATACCCTAAATGTGGCAGATTCAAGTGTTTCATCTGAATGTTAATCCTTATATGTTTTTTAAAGCCATATTATTTTGGGTTTCAAGGCCATATTTATACACTTTGATGTCTACTTTTAACTTCCTAGGCCAAGAACAGGAACTGTAACAATGCATTCCAAACAGAATATACTCTGTTTTCTTCATGGGAGGCAACTGAACTATGTGTGTGGCTATACCTTCAGGTCTGTCTTGCTTAGGGCAGTATTCTGTTGAGTTCATCAATGTATGTGTTGATTCTAACCCAGTAAGAATCACTGGCTGAAAAAGTGACCTGGGCTTAAGAGTTTGTTGCCCATCCTTGAAGCCCGATATCATACTTTACTACAGGGTATTATTTCGGACATGAAAAGACTTAGCTAATTAAATTTGGCAATTTGTATTCTAACATGAGTCTATTTTGAAAGAATTTGAGAAACGCTAAAAAGCACTTTGAGGAGTTAGTGGGGAGGGAACGGTGGCCTGTGGGTTTAGTCATAAAAGTAATACAAGACATACCTCAAGACCAGGTATCAAATCTAGTGCTGGCAGACTCCACCAAATGGAAGGGTTCTGAGGTGAGTGGTGTTACCTTGCTATAAGATTTTATAGCAAAAATTTCTCTCTTCAGATATTTAAATACAGCTTTTCATAGCATTAGGATTGTTTTAAAGGTATTTGATTTCCTTCGACTATATCCTTTCGCTATTTGGGAATGAGCAGTTCCAAGGGACAAGGAAGAAAAAAATAAGGAGGAAAAGTGTCTGTAGCATAAATTCCCGGAAGAAAATGGATGTGTATGTTGAGTTGCAATTGGCAAGGGTAAACCTCCTTTGTAGGCCGTACAACTGAAAATGTATCTATCTCTACTTCCCGAAACGATCAGAAGGCAGACTCTGCACATAGGCTACAAGACTATAAACCCATTTACAAAAGAAATGTTCAAGACTTATTGCAAGATTTTAACAAAAGTGTACATCCAGTTACGCATACACCAGAGTGATAATTCACCTTCCTCCCAAGGTTTAAAGAGCAAGTCCCCATCACAGACTTGTCAAACAGCCAAGTTATCATTTAACATGTGGCAGATAAAGGAAGGCTCGCTTACAGACTTAGATCCCTCTGTAGAGAATATTCGGCTTAAACTTAGTATTCAATATTCAAATTACATTTGAATATTGTCACTTGTATCCATAACACTTTTAGCAGAGTTTTTAAGGAGTTGAATTTAAAAAAGGGGTCAGGCCTGGAAAAGGAATGAGGACCCTTTTAAAAGGGTATATGTGTAACTGGGTGTACACTTTTGTTAAAATCTTATAATAAGTCTTAAACATTTCTTTTGTAAAGGGGTTTATAGTCTTGCAGCCTATGGGCAGAGTCTACCTTCTGATCATTTCAGGAAGTATAGATAGATACATTTTCAAGAAAAGATCCCTAGTTAATTCCTTTGATTACCTTCCCAAACTGGGGCTCTGTTGAAGAAAGTGTCTAGCTTATGTTAAGCAATGGAGTCTGTTTTAAAGCTCTAGGATGGTAAAAAGTTTCTTATAAAGAGAAGCAGGTGAGTGTAGCACAGGAAGGAAGCATACAGTGTTCTCCCTTGTTGGGTATAGTCTCACGGCCCTTCTGTTCAACAAGTGCAAAATTAGTCAGGAAATACACCCAAAGGGTGTTGTCACTAGGCAAGGATTACACATTGAAGCTCAAAAACATATAAAAAGGCTCGCAAACACAGTTCCCTACCTAAAAGTAGCTTTTTTGTTATCCTGATTCTCAGAGACAGGCTGTTTCCTTCATCTGAAGATTGAAAAGAGAAGTAAGATGACACATCTGAAAACAAAGGAGGATCTAAAGTTATCGTATAGTCATGACTCCTTTTCAAGACCTCAGATATAACAGAAAGCTGTAAAGAAAACTCTGCTATATGAATAAAATTAGCTTCCATTTGAGTGACTATCTCTAACTTGGATTTTGGACTTTATACAAATCTCCCTGAAAGAATGCAGAG